AAACATCGACCATCCAGAGTTCAACATCGATGTTTTTCGATCATCGATGAACATCGCGCATCCCTAGTTCGAAACTGTTTCTATTGGTCAAAATATTGATTTTAATTCGCGCCAAGCAGTTGTAAGACAATCAGATGACGAGGCGGTGAAAACACGAGGCTTGTTCGACCTCGTAGTTGTCAAATGGGTAAAAATCGTATTTTATGGCAGTACAGGGTCAAATCAACCTCGTACATCTTTTTACAATAATTCGAGAAAAGTACTCTGTAAGGATTTGAATGGTACCAATAACAGTAAAAATGGTTTAAAAATAACAAACAAAAAGTTTTGTGACGAGGTCTTTAAGACATACAGGGAACCTGTTAGCCGAAAGCTGGATTTTCATAGATCCGATATCCGATGACACGAAATACGAATTTTTTCGTACGAATATATTTGATTGTCGTATCCGAAATTTTTTGACATACATTTCATATATATGTGTTATGTGTCAGACTATTGGATGGATTCGATGGATTGATATTTATTTCAATGCACTGTCAGTCAATAAATCTTAGCTGTTTTGATTAATATAATATATATTGTATTGAGCTACGGTCTCGTCGTTTTTGCCTCACATAGTGTACAAGACCCAAAAGCAACACTTTATTCATTGCATTTTTATTTAATAATTAGGTATTTCATTAGGTATGTCAGAAACTGACAGAGAATGTAGCGTAGAAGTAATTTTAAACTGTTTGTCCTCGTTTTAGTGTAGTGTTTTGTATAATTTATGTTAGTTTTAATGTTTCCACATCCTACGCTTGCCGGATAGTTCTTATTTTGACGAAATGCCCCTGAAGATGCTATTTTAAGCGAAAGTACTTGGGCTAGATTTAATTAACTTGTGCTCGATAATAGCCTTATTTTCAAAGTTCAATTAGGTATTTGTTCCATTTTAAATATATTTCAAATAGTAAACATAAACACTTCACAAAAATAAGGTTAAGGTTCAAGTTAAAATTTCAACAATGTCAAAATTCATCCGATTTTCGTGTAAAAGTTAAAATATTTTTAACTTCTTCCGATGACTTTTAGTTTCGTACGAAAATCCCACCTGTCATTTTTCAACCAATGAAATTCGCTGAAATTTATATCGTATCATCGTCCCGTCGGATATCGGACCTGTGAAAATCCACCTTTAGGGTTAGGTAACAAATAAGGTGTAAATTGTAACACATGAGGTAACCTGACACAAAGGGTCATAATTTCATTTCTGTAATACTTAAGCAGGTTTTGAGCCAAGGATACTGTGTAATAGAGTCCCTAGTACAGGTTAGAATAAATTAAAATTTAACAAAGCTCAACTTCGTCAAAAAAATCAATTTGTGACATTTGTTACAACCGACACCAGTCTCCCCTACTTTATTATCTATTTATTATCTATTGTTTATCTATCTGTTTTTGATCTGATTTTTTTTATCATCTATATCCTTACCCACCTCCAATGAGACTTCCTGACTTAAGCAACGAGGTCTTCGTTAAGTATTGTGAATGAAAAGCTTTTTAATATTAACATTTGTCAGCTTTTTCGCCAAAATCGTTGACTGTTGACCGCAAAATTAGATGAGGTTGAGGTTTTCCCCATTATGACTTAGTGTGTCTTCGTTAAATCGCTGTTTTATATTGTTTATGCTGTTAATTGCTATTTTTGGGTTAAGATCTCAAATAATTACTATTTTTTCATTTTTCTGTATCCTATCCATTGCATCTTCGAGACTATTATAAAAATCTCCAGTTTCATCATCAAAACCTTCCAGTTTCCTTCTGTTTTGCTTTGCTGATGCCTCCTATCATGCAACACTGCAAATTAGATAGGTACTGTGAGTCATATTGGCATAGTCACAGTAATTTATACGCATACCAGTCTTTGAACTTTCTGCAGCTATAAGCACACGCCGTTATTTATCTAACTTAATTTTTCTTACTTTCTGATTCTTTCAAAATGATTGATAAATCTATTGCATTCAGTTTTTTATTCATATTTTTTTTAATATATAATACATGTTCATTTATTTATAACATTTAGTAATTGATATATGAATATTCCACCCAATAAACTTCTTTATCGGTCAGCCGGTGTTTTAAAAACATATTTGTTTAATTATTGCCTTGATAATTATTGTTTGGTTGAACCGTAGAGACAATAGATATTGTCGTATTTTTAAGTAGGTATTATTGCAATGCAGTATTTCTTATGCCAATAGATATTAAAAAATTCCTTTGATTAAATTTTATAAATAGAAATATTTTTTAGTCCTAGTTTCAGTAAACAGATAACCTTTTTATCGACAAGTACATGCTCACGTAAAGTATTTGCGTTTATTGATATATTGAACAACTATACAGGGTGTGGCAGATATACGGCCAATTAAAAATATCTCGAGAACTAAAGGTAACTGAATCATGAAAATAAAAAAGGGGTTTTGAAGAGTGACCTATTTTATGAAATTTTTTTTCATCTATTTGCTACTTCCGGTTATACTAGAAGTTGCTTATAACGTTTTTTTAATGGGATACCCTGTATATTTTTTAATTTTAGAAATAATCACGTTATTCTAAACATTTTTTGTTAATACTTCCCTATACCTATTGTGAATCGTTTTTGAGTTATAATGGTTTTTATATAAAAATTACACTTTTCTACCATGTACATAAAGTTCAATATCCTCTAATGTAATTTGAATAAAATTTTTAATTCCTTAAGAACTTATTAACTACATAAGTTTAAAGTTGCCTTTTGAATTATACAGAGTGCTGTCGAAATTGGCATTAAAGCGACATCATAAATTTTCGCCTAATTACTTTTTTCAAATGGGACACCCTGTATGTGACTCATTATTTTAGAAAAAATTGTTTTTCACCATCAATCTGTTTTAGTATTTCCTATACCTATCTCTTGCAGTTTTCAAAAAATTAACTTAACGTTATTGATAAAGTTTAATAGTAATCTTGTTGTATGCCATTGGGTGACAGTTATAATAATTTGCCTAATTTTCTTGACAAAATAATAATGGCTCATTTAGGATATACAAATGATTTTTTAAATTTTAGTATAATTTACGGTGAGTATAACAGGATAGTATCCACAACTAGTCGTGTTTTTGTCGTAGGAGATAAGCCTCTACCAAATCATAAAACTGTAAAACGTTTATTAAACAACTGTTCCCAGTTTGGTCGGTTTATAAGTAAAAGGAACCTCGTCGATAATAAAGACTTACAAATGGATGATCTGGGATATCTTGAGACTAATCCAAATTCATCTTTACGGTAATTTGAGCAATTGTTACAGGTATCGACTCGAACACTTCACAGATTTTTAAAAACCATCATTGGACTCTTTATTCGTATACACTAGCTCAAGTACTAGCTATTTACATCCTGGAGAATATGTAAGAGGTATAGAATTTTGTAAATGGGTTTTAATAAATCGTATCAATCGAAGTTTACAAAAAATGGTATATTTAACCGCCATAACAGTCACTTCTGGAGTGACAAAAATCAGCTCAGCTTACGTGGGATAGTAAATTCCAAGCATTCTTTTCATTGAATGTTTTTTGTACTGTGAAAAATAATAAGACAGTCGCTCTCATGATTTATGACGAAAATTTAAACGGAGAGCGTTACTGCAACATTTTACGGCAAGTAATTGTACCAGCACTGCACGCTTTATCATCATCATCAGTGGCATTACAGCTTGTCATGAGCCAAAACCTTCTTCAGAACAATCTTCCATTCGCCCCTGTCTTTGGCAACTCTTCTCCATGATTACATCCATATTGATTACAGTGAAATATTTTGTGTTTTTCTAGATATTCTACCAAACGAACATTTAGAATACTCTCAAAAATTTTGCCGAAAATGGGAATGATTGAGATGGGACGATAATTTTTAATTTCTTCTAAAGCTCCCTTTTTGAACACTGGTAGCACTTTTGTTACTTTTAAAACGTGTTAAAAATCCCTTCTGTAAGACAATTATTATAAAGTATAATTAATCTCTAATCTGTCAATAATCGATTGTTTCGACTATATCGATTGTTTCGACAATTATTTGTTTGTTTAAGAAATAAAAATCCGTATGTACATGAGTTAAAGTGAGAAAAGAGATTTTGTTAATCGTCAGGTCAGCTCATAAATCTTTTTACAAGTATTCAGCCAAAGTATCATTACCAAAGTACACAGTTCTTCTAATCGGCATAGCTCACGCTGGGTTAAGCTGGTTTTAATAGCGACTAAACTAATCATACATTAGACAAGGAAAGAGAGAGGACAGGTAACGCTCATTTAATAAACTTTCGAAAAGTGAAGCCAGTTTCGTTGTGACCGCCATGTTTTGTGACTGTACGTTGCCCATTACTACCTCTTGCAGGGTTACCAGGTATACTGATTTTTCACTAGATCTACTGATTTCAACTTCAATTTACTAATTTACTCAAACACTATATCGATTTACTAAAAAATAATATGTAATGATAAAATCACCTTGAAAAAACAAATCATTATGTCAGTGTCCAATTAAAAAATTTTGAAAAAATCTATTTATTGATATATATATATATATATATATATATATATATATATATATATATATATATATATATCCATTATTCTCAATCTACTGAAGAAATAAAATATGGTATGGCAACCTTTCTGCTGCCAGTCAATTCTGGTGCCGGTTTCAGTAAATTCCATACGTTTACACGTCCCCTCTCTTTCCTTGTCTAGGAATAGTATTTATCAATGACAGTTTTATGGACTTCAAAAATTTGATTTCTTAAACTTTAATGCTTACGCCGTTATTAATCAAAATTCAGAGTTGGCGCACTTATATGAAATGGTTGTAATCTCGAGATGAATACATTCATGTAAATTTTATTGCATTTGAGTGACATTACATTTTACATAAGATGTGTATGATCTCCTTTCAAAAGTGTTATTCAAAATAATATATTTACTTACGTTTGGATTTTCGACCAAAGCTTGTCCAGCATCTCCAAATCCGGGAACGATGTTTAAAACACCTGGAGGAATTCCAGCTTCCTTCGCCAATTCAGCAACGTATAAACTCGATAAAGGCGTCTGTTCAGCAGGCTTGAGAACAACGGTGTTTCCCATACTCAAAGCGGGTCCAATTTTCCATGCCATCATCATAAGCGGAAAGTTCCATGGAATGATTTGTCCGCAAACTCCTACGGGCTCGTGACGGGTGTAACACATATATTTTCCATCCATCGGAATGTATTTTCCATAAATTTTATCAGCATAACCGGCCATATAGCGGATCACTTTGAGACTGCCAACTACGTCACCCCAAGCTTGTGTGAATGGTTTACCGTTGTCTAATGTCTCCAAACTCTGAAATTATATTAGATTAAATGAGAAAATTTTCGGGGCTTATAATGATGAAACTAGCGGACATGTAATTATATGACATTAAATGTATAACAAATATACTTATACTATACTTTTAATACTACAGTTCGTCCCGATGTTTTACCGAACATTGGGCATTCCCCGATTAACTTTCTAATCTTGGATTATGTAATTCTGTTACAATCAGCAACTATTCGAAGGGCAAAGGAAGGGTTTAAAAAACTAACTATAGAAAAGGAAGAATAGAAATGGAACAGGAATGAAAGAAAACTAGAAAAAACAACAAACTAACAGTAAATGATAGATTGAAATATAAGGTAACGAACATGGCAATCGATAAGCAAGCAAGTACAATAGATAACAATGGACATGAAAGGGAAGTGTAAAAATGAAAACAAGAAGAAAGAAACAAGGAGAATAGAAAAAATATGGAACGTCTGAATAGGGAATATTAAAAGTATACAAGGGAAAGAAAAAGAACTGGAGATGGAGTTTGAAAAAACAGGGCTCAATATACTGACAATAACTGAAACTAAAAAAAGACAAGGAATGGTAAAATCAGCAAATGATAATGTATTTATATAAAGTGGAATAAAAGAAAACAAAAGAACAGCGACAGGGATAGGATGCATAGTGCATACCAGATTAACAGAATAAATAAACAATCGGGAAGCCTGGTCAGAGAGAATACCATCGGTTGAGATGAAAGACAAAAGCAAGAATTTAAAAACAATAATAATTGTATATGGTTCAAATGTTGACGACTCAGCGTATAATAAGGAAATTCTGGGAATGATTAGCATTGGTCAGGAAACAAGCAAAAGAAAATATATATTTAGTAGGTGACTTCAATAGCAGAATAAGCGCAAATAACCAGGAATATAAAGAGGTATTAGGAAAATATGGAGAAACACCATGAAACAATAATGGCATCAGAATGCTAGACTTCTGTATGATGCAAAATTTAATAATCACTAATACATTTTTTGAACACAAAAATATCCACAAGTACACAAGAGTAGGGATATTGTACGACTGTCAGAAGTGAAAAGAAGAGGTGAACAATGCATGTATCTAAACTATGGAAATCACTTATACTATACAGGGAAAATAGACGAAACATATGGTGGAGTAGGATTTCTTGTCAAAAAGTATCTCACACCATACATTTCTACATATAAAAGCGTTTCTGATAGAGTAGCTTATAATAGACTTAGATAATAAAACCAAGACCAAGGTTATACAAGTGTGTGCTCCCACAACAACACATCAGGAAGAGGTAGTTAAAATGTTCTACGAAGATTTGATAACAGCATTAGAAGAAAATGATACAATGTATACCATCATTATGGAAGATTTCAACGCAAAATTATATAAAAAAGAAGAAAATACTGAAAACAAAATAGAGATGCATGGTTATGGCACACGAAATGTAAGAGGAGAAAAATTATATAACTTCTTAGAACAACAAAATTTATATGCCATGAACACACACTTCAAGAAACCAGCAAACCGAAAATGAACGTGGATATCTCCCGATAAAAATACGAAAAACGAGATAGATTACTTCTTGTGTAGGAACAAAGACATTTTTAAAGATATAGCTGCTCTCAATCGATTCACAACTGGCAGCGATCATCGCCTTTTAAGAGCAAAGATTCTTATTAAACAGACGAAAACCAGTAGAAACAGGCCACATAATTATTGTAATCAGATAGATCAAACTAAAATAAGACAGAAGGGAGATGAGTACAGAGAAGTCTTAAGAAAAGAATTTGTAGAACATTATCAACAAGAATATTCCGACATGAACACAATTAATAAAGAAATGCAACGAAAGCTCTTGAAAACAGGAGTGTCTGTTGCAAAGAAAACGATAAATAAAGAAGATCGAATAAGTGAAGACAAAGAATGGTTGATGGAAAAGAGACGCACATTTCTAAGCGAAGGAAAGCGAAACATCAATGGTTTCAAAAAATTGAATAAACAAATAAAGAAGGGAGTAAAGGAAGATTTAGGGATCTATAATAAAAATAAGGTAGAAAAAATATTAGAAATGAACCGAGGTCTGAAATGCTTAAGATCAAACTTAGGAAAGCCTATAGGTAGTAATATCATTGAAGAATAAAGATGAAAAAGAAATAAGAGAAAAAGAACGAAATCCTAAAAGTTCCTCAAACATTTTATCGTGATTTATATTCCTCAAACAAGAATCCACATAACACCCCGAAGGAAGATCTTAAAAGAAAGATAACGAATGTCAGCTCAGAAATACTCCCTAACATAGAATCCTTCGAACTAAAACAAGCTATGTCACAACTAAAGAACATAGCCGGACATGAATACTTGTAGAAATGTTGCAGAAAGGGAAATGAAATTATTCTCGAAGAATTGAAAAATGTTTTCAACGAATGTCTTCACAGAGGAGAAGTCTCAGATGATTGGATTGACCATACTTCTCTTCAAAAAGGGAGACAGGGGAGATCTGAAGAACTATAGGCCAATATCTCTGTTGTCCCAAATGTACAAACTGTTTATGAGAGTAATAACTAACAGGTTAACGCTGAAGCTCGATAGCTATCAACCGGTAGAGCAGGCAGGATTCGCAGATAACGAAAGGGTTACAGTACAGCGGGTCATCTTCTTACAGTCAGAACTCTAATAGAGAAAGCCAATGAATATCACTTGAACTTATACATTGGCTTTGTTGATTATGAAAAGGCATTCGACTCCACAGAACTTCAAGTTCATTCAACATATGTGTTTTCCTATGCTGTACGGTGCAACGGTTGCATTAAATTGGCAACTTTTATGATTTTATGTCTAATCATCTTGTTAGATTAGATTGTATAAAAAGACGGCTTCATACATTTAAATTATAAAAACTGAACTGCTTAGGTTTCGATTGCACTATTAGTTGAGTTGTAAGTGTTATGTTTTTCGCTTTAATCTTATCAGATAATAGTTTTTTGCTAGTCATGGAAATACAATGTTTATATTATATTACATTTACTTAACCTTATCGTTTAACTTTTTTACATTGTAACTATCAACGTACTTAAAATTATATAACATTAAGTCAAGTTAGTATATCTTCACAGAATTGCCCAGTATAATCGTATTCCAACATGTTTTCTTTTTAAATTGGAATAAGCCACAATTAAAGGTTAAAATAAGTTTATTGGCGTTTCAATTTCCACTTCGGAAATTGTTCTCAAAGTACAAACATACGTAAATTAAACAAATTTTGTTAAAAAAAAATTGTTTTACTGTTTGTATTATGAGAACGATTTCCGAAGTGGAAATTGAAAGCCAATGAACATCACTTCTTATACATTGGCTTTGTTGATTATGAAAAGGCATTCGACTCCACAGAACTTCAACTTCATTCAACATAGTGAGAGAGTTATAAACAACTGCAGGATCGACTCCCGATACAGAATGTTCATACATAATATTTACAAGAAAGCTTCAATGAAAATACAAATAGATGCAAAAACCAAAGCTATACCAATCAACAGAGGAGTTCGCCAGGGAGATGTTATCTCACCAAAGCTATTCACACTTGGGCTGGAAGACGTGTTCAAAGACATTAACTGGGCAGATAAAGGAATAAATGTTAATGAAAGAAAACTAAGTCATTTAAGATACGCTGATAACATTGTAATATTTGCTACACGTTTCGAAGAACTACAAACCATGATGACGCAACTGTTTCAAGCTTCAGAAAAAGTAGGTCTTAAGATGAACTTGGAAAAAACAAAAATAATGACAAATACACCTAACAGAGAAATAACGTTGGACGACATAAATTTAGAAACAGTAAGCGAATACATCTACCTGGGACAGATAATGAAAGTTAACAAAGTAAATTAAACTGCCGAAATTACCAGAAGAATAAGATTAGCGTGGGCAGGATTTGGAAAACTGAGTTGGATCTTGAAAAGCACTAAAATAGAACAATATTTGAAAACCAGAAAAGATCAATGCTCGGGATGGACAAAAAAAAACAAACAAATGGATTAGAAGCAAAACCAAAGTAAAAGACGTTTTAATTTGGCGGAGACGCCGCCAAATTAAAATGGAGCTTCGCAGGAGCTTGCCAGTATTTCCATGTTTTCTCTATTAACTACAATTTTATGTCAAACTGAACAACCTCTTAGGTACTATTCTTTGAACAGAAGGTAACTTACATCTCACTCCATATGTTAAAATGGTAAATCTCTTTAATATACCAAACGATCTGTCATTCATAATTATTGACGCAATTTTGTGATAGATTATACAGTACTTCCACTCCCACTCCTATTCAATATGTAATCCGAGGAAATATTTAACAAATGTATGGAAAATGCAAATGAGGGCATAAAAATAAACGGCGAGTTAACGAACAATATAAGATATGCCGACGACACGGTGATCCTTGCCAGTACCATAGACGAATTACAACAAGTAATGGAAAGACTTTATTCAGTTAGTGAGGAATACGGCCTGAGCCTCAACTTCAAGAAGACAAAGTGGATGCTGATAAGCAAAAAGCAACAACCTGCTCGACAATTACGGATAAGTAACATACTAATTGACCATGTAGAATCTTATGTGTACCTTGGCACCAACGTAAATGCAAAATGGGAACAGACTATAGAAATTAAGGCGAGAATAGAACGAGCTAGAGCAGCATTTAGCAATATGAAAAAGGTCCTCATAAGCAAGGATTTGTCTCTTCCCCTAAAACTACGTATAGTTAAATGCTACATTTTTCCGATCTTGCTGTATGGCGTGAAGGCCTGGACGCTGACGGAGACGCTAACGAGAAAACTAGAAGCATTCGAAATGTGGGTGTACCGACGCATTCTTCGTATATCCTGGACCGAACATGTCACCAACATAGAGGTACTCCAAAGAATCGGAAAGGGGAAAGAAATCGTGAATACAATTAAACAAAGAAAAGCTTGAATATCTAGGCCACATATTGAGACACGATAAGTACCGTCTGCTACAATTGATTGTCCAGGGAAAAATAGACAGTAAGCGAGGGCCAGGCAGGAGAAGACACTCGTGGCTCCAAAATCTGCGGAAGTGGTTCGGGCTCACATCGGTCGAACTATTCAGAAGCGCCGCAAACAAGATCAAAATTGCCATGTTAATAGCCAACGTTCGCAACGGACAGGGCACTTGAAGAAGAAGATACAGTACTTCGAACTGTTGTCTGAAGATTCTACAATGGTAGTTAAGAACTGGATATCCACTACATATTTACTAATAATCCATTGTCCATAAATTATTTATTTTATATACCCATAAAATATAAAAGTATTTAACAACTCCTAAAATAGCTTCTAATAATAATAATTGCACTTTCATATTATACGAAGAGTATTATGGGTTATGGTATCTATTTTTTAAATGAGAAAATAATTCAACGTTTTATTTTTTTCAATGATCTTATTTTAATTTTTATTGTAGGATCCTATAATAGGTAACAAATACAATTTATAATGTATAAATTATTTTTATATATACAAAAATATTTAATATAATTCGTCAAAATAAAAGAATAAAATCTGTGTTTGCAATAACTCTCTATTGACGACATACGTATTAGGGAAGGTTTAAAACTTTTCGAGTAGTGTCAATGGCTTACTGTGTTATATGACACAATAGTGTTGACACACTGATACAATAAGCCGCGCCAGTGTTGCTGTATCAACACCCAAAAATTTAGTGTGTTAAAATACCCATGGTTAAAGGGGCGGGATCTCTTAATCAAAACACAATCTTGAAGAACAAACACCTAAGACAAGACACAAAAACAAGAATCTATAAAGCAGCAATTAGACCTTAGAAGATTAATATACACGACAGAGACAAGACATGACACATCTAAAACGAGACGACTACTAGAAATAACAGGGATGAAAATACTTCGAGGAATATCAGGGAAAAGACTGTTGGATAGGGAGAGAAGCGAAAACATAAGAAGGGCATGCAATATAAAAGACATAAATGGATGGGTGACAAAACGAAAACAGGAGTGGAACGAACACATTAGTAGAGTGACAGAGAATAGTAAGAATAGCACGAGATAGGTAACCAAAAAGACGAAGAAATATTAACAGACCAAGAAAAAACGGGACAAAATGCAACGGAGTTATTATTTAAGATATTTAGTGCCATATGGAGAGAAGAACAGATACCAATTGACCTGCAGAAGGCTCAGATAGTACCGATTTATAAAAAGTGTGATAGAACTGATTGCAACAATAACCGGAAAATTTGACAGCACGCACTTGAGGAATCACAAAGCGGATTCGGAAAAGGCAGAAAGCACCCATGATCATCTATTTACCATCAAACGAATACCTAATAAAAAATATCAGCAACAGGAAAAAAATGTATTTGAACAGAGATATTTTTATCAAAATGATAATGGTAATTAAGAATATTTACAACAGCAATATAAATGACGCCATTAGTCAAAAAAGAACAACAAAACCATTTACTACAAATGAGAGTAAGGAGTGTTGTGTTTTCCTATGCTGTACGGTGCAACGGTTGCATTAAATTGGCAACTTTTATGATTTTATGTCTAATCATCTTGTTAGATTAGATTGTATAAAAAGACGGCTTCATACATTTAAATTATAAAAACTGAACTGCTTAGGTTTTGATTGCACTATTAGTTGAGTTGTAATGCAGGCCATTCACGTTCCGACTTGTGGTACCACTAAGTAGGACCACTAGTTGGATGTTCGTCTCCACTCACGCTCCGACTTTCTATCCAACTAGCGGTCCAACTTCAGTTCTAGGATGTATCGAATAAACACTACGCAAAATATAATTAGGAGGAGAAAAATGACAGCACTGTGCTTGTTATCTTTATTGTATGTTATGATAATTTCAAAATTAGGTTTAGTTTCTCTAGGTATTTGTCTAGGGCTGAACTAATTAATTTTTTCAACTCTTGATTTTTATGACTTTTTAAGATGTAGGAAAAAATTATAGTTTTTAAAGATTTGTATAGGTATAAATCTATATTTTATTTGTTTTAAACTGGAGCTGGGATTTATTTTGTTGTGTGTGTGTCGTATATTTTTAATAGGAATAATTATTGTTTGTGCAATTGAAAGTTATTTTCTATTATTTTTTTGCGAACTAGGGATCTTTTGCTACAAGTATGATTTAATTTTTATTGTATGTTGATAATTCTTCTGTAGCCAATCTGGAGTATCGGAAATTTACCTGTATAGGAATGTCCGAAATAGATCTACAGAAAGGAAAATGATTTGCCCTAACAAAAAGGTAATTTTCGTGCAATTGAAAGTTTATTTTCTAATAAATATTTGCGAACTAGAGATCTTTGCGTAAAGTATTTCATAGAAATCTCATACGTAACAGGTGCCGAAAGTCAACTGACTGAGGAAATTTTCGATCCAACCTGTGATCCGACTTCCAACTTCACCATTCACGCTCCGACTTCGTCGCCAGTCGGAAGTCGGATCTTCAAGTCGTCCCACTAGTCGTACCACTAGTTGTCCAACTAATCCAACTAGCCCACTCACGGTCCGATTTCAGATCCAACTGCAGAAGTTGGACCACTAGTCGTACCACAAGTCGGAACGTGAATGGCCTGCATTAGTGTTATGTTTTTCGCTTTAATCTTATCAGATAATAGTTTTTGCTAGTCATGGAAATACAATGTTTATATTATATTACATTTACTTAACCTTATCGTTTAACTTTTTTACATTGTAACTATCAACGTACTTAAAATTATATAACATTAAGTCAAGTTAGTATATCTTCACAGAATTGTCCAGTATAATCGTATTCCAACATGTTTTCTTTTTAAATTGGAATAAGCCACAATTAAAGGTTAAAACAAGTTTATCGGCGTTTCAATTTCCACTTCGGAAATCGTTCTCAAAATACAAACATACGTAACTTAAACAAATTTTGTTAAAAAAAAATGTTTTACTGTTTGTATTATGAGAACGATTTCCGAAGTGGAAATTGAAACGTCAATAAACTTACTTTAACCTTTTATTGTGGCTTATTCCCATTTAAATAGTAATTACTTTAAAATGCAGCAAGAAAATAGCTTCAAAACAATATGTTTTCTTTGTATTTTCTCTTATTCTACTCTTTGTTTATACATATAATATTGCGATTTTATCTACATCTTAGTTTCCACTGTTTTCTGTCTCACCAGTCATCAACCTGTAAATTCCTTTCGGTCACAGCTTGTCTAATGCCGTCCTTCCATGTCTTTCTATGGCGTCCTCTTCTTCTTTGCATTGTTCTCACGCCATCACTTTCGTTATCTACCTATCCTCATTCATACGGCTTACATGTCCGCACCATCTCAAACTCTTGGTTTTAATGGTATCAATTATTGTTATCTCAATACCCATTCTTTCCTATATCTCGGCATTTCTTATTTTGTAGTGATGTAACTTGCAGCAACGTGTCCAAAATCCCGTTTCCATTGACAGTAGCTTTTTTTAAACATTCTGTTATTAGCCGTACCTCAGCTCCATAAGTTGCGATAATTTCACTATGGTCTTGTAGATTATGAATTGTACACCTTATCTAATTTCTGTGTTCCACAGCACGCAATTTAGTTGTTTTGTAACCTACTTACCTTGTCCAATTCGTTTCTTAATTTCAGAGTCACTAGAGCCTTATTTAGTAATTTTAACTCCAAGGTATTTGTATTACTCAACTTTCCAATTTCACGGTGGTCTAGCTTTAGATTATTTCGATCTGATTTTCCAACATCTAGATATTCTGACTTTTATACTCCTAAGCTACTCCTAAATCCTAAGCTTTATACTCTTCATTCAATGTTCTGATCATATACCTTACATAATCCTCATCTAATATAACCTAGTCATCAGCAAAGTGCAAAGCGAAAAGTTTGTTATCATCTACCTGTCGCACATGAAGCACGTGCGTTTCTATCGTCGTAGTGCTGAATTTAAATAAATTTTACATAAGATTGGAGACATTGCGAATTAAAAAATTATTGTAATATAATCAAGAATGTAGCATATAGAAATTCAAAATAAAATTAACTTACTGCCAAGTAAGCGCCATCCCTTTCCATAAGGTCCGCCAACTTGTTCAATAAACGTCCTCTTTCTGATGCATCGGTTGTTCTCCAAGTCGAGCCGAATCTGAAGGCTTCATTTGCAGCTTCCACCGCCAAATCGATGTCTTGCTTAGATCCTTGTTGAATTTCTGTAATTACCTGACCCGTCGAGGGATTTACGCTCTCAAATGTTTTTCCAGATTTGGATTTGTGCCATTCATTATTGATGAAAATCTGAAACAGTAAAGAATTCTGTTAAAAAATAGGGTATTTATTTCTTCTTCTAAATTGTATGTATGTTACGTATTTATAAAACAATTGAAACGCTTATTTCGGAAACACCCTAAGTCACATTTTGGAGATTCTGAGTTTATAACACCACTATATTATTATATTTCTATGGGTTACCCACAATTTAATGCAAAATACACTCAACTCCCATCATTTTGCATATCGACGTTTACCATAACCTATCAAAATCATAATGTTTCCATTGTTTTTTCTTATTGCTGCTTACGAAAAACGTTCATATTTTAATATTATTATGAACAACGATCAACCAACCAGTGTTAAAAACGTCAAGGATGGAGAGCGTGCTCCTAAAAGGCGTAAGGGAATTAGGAAAGCGGATGAATATAAGCGTAATGTTATCAGAAACTCTATCGTTAAAGCACAAACATATATTAGCTACAAAAATAAGGCCATGGAATCAAAGCAAATAGGACTTCAGTGCAAGTAAGACAATAAAAATATAATATTTTTGAGTTTGTAAGATACATTTTTTAGGTGTCTACTCAACTGTTTTGAAAAAGTGAATGAAGATCAAAGGAACATTATTTTTGGTAACTTTCACTGTATGACAACAAAAAACGAACAGGATATATATATATATATATATATATAATATATTAATAATATATATATCTACAAGGATTAATAGAAGTAATGGAGTGTCTAGAAGAAGAAAACGTAATGAAGGAGGCAAAGATATGGCAAGAAGAAAGCACAAGCTCTTTGTTAATGTTGATCAGACTAAAAAAAGATATGCAAAGGTACTTTTTGAAGTATTCACGCCATTGGAAGAGAAAGGCTAAAGAGAATTAAAAGACGGGTGGTATGTGGTGTGATACCTACAGATAAAAGGAGAAAATATAAAAGGATACATTATTGATGCTGGAACTAGAGAACTTATCCGTAGCACTCATTTCGTCAAGAGTCTATTTACTCTGGTAAGGAATTTAAGTACTTAGATGCGAAAATTAATATAAAAATAATGCATGAATTATTTATTAAAAAGTATCCTGAGAATACAGTAAAATACAGTTACTACAATAAATGTCTGTGAGGAACTTAATTTAAAAATTAAAGGCCCTAGTCCTGGTGAAGCAGCAAAAAAAGTAGCGGTTGCCGAAAAAGTCGTACACTGCCGCCGAAGTAAAAAATTTTACACTGCTCTACATGATCAAATTGAGGAATGCATTCAAAGAGATGATGTAGAAGCAATCACCTTCGATTTTACGCAGAACTTTCAACTCCTGCAATTCCTGTACAAGACCTCTTTTATCTGTCGCAGCTTACCGTTAATGTTTTTTACATCACCAATATTAATTCATGAAAATCCGTTCTTTATATTTACCACGAAACAGAAGCGAGAAAAAGTCCGAATGAAATCTGCAACTTTCTATTAGATTATATTGAAAAATATATTGGAACAGATGTAAAAGAACTACGCCTGTTTTCTGACAACTGCCCAAGTCAAAACAAAAACCACTGCGTTACAAGAATGTGTTTGGCTTTAACCGATACAGGCAGATTTCAAAACATTTAACAATTTTTCCCACTTCGCGTTTATTCATTTCTTCCCTGTGACCGTGTTTTTGGCGTTCTTAATAGAAACCTCAGAAAATTTGACCGAGAAGACCGAGAGACACAGAAGTTAACAAGGGACCAACGAATTTCGTTCAGATAAACTGTCAAAACGTTTTTTTCATCTCCTGCAAACTGTTCGAACGTGACATAGGTTGTTTCTTAAATAAGCGATTCAATTAAAAAATAATACATATAGAATTTTTCATACAAAACACATTTTGTATGAAATGTACATTGAACATTGTAATTGTACGATAGTTATATATACATACACATAAATAATTTATTGGTTAAGGCCAGGTTTCCCAAAAATCGTGATTTTTTAAATAAATTTTATTTACAGCACAAAAGATATTTGAAAATAAAACTTTTTACAGGTGAAAGTACATACATTAAACTACTCGAATTTTTTTTTAAATGGTGGCATTGAAACGCTCAAAGCTATTTGGGCAGCTATTTTCAGTGCTGCCCACAAAGCCAAACGAATCATCCGAAAGAAAAAAAAAGGTTACATACTCCGTGTCGAATTTTTTTTAACAACTTTTGTTTACAACTTTTTTAAATAACAATAAATATTTTTGGTTGTCGTACCGACCATAAAGAGACATCTAAAGAGTAAAATGCCGTTTGGTTCATCTCGATAAGTGCAACAGTTCGAAATAAGAGTGACATCCAGTTGAAAAAACGTGGTAGCTGCTGTCACACGGTCCGCTTGAGTGGCTGGATTTACCGCTTGAACTCTAGGCTTTTACCACTTCACTGCATACTTTATTTTCTAGCAATTTTGAAAAAAAAATCGATTTTTTTGAAAATTGTTTGGAGGAAATTGGTCTTAAACGGCCCACATTCTTGGCGTTCAGTATATACAAATACAGAAATTAGAAATGAAAAAATCTCCCTTTTTAAATATTTTCACCATTTACCACTTTAAATAGTAGTTTAAATATGACAGCTTCATCATTAAGAACTACTTTACTTGCTAAAGCTAACAGTTTTCATCAGGGGGATTTGACAGTTTTCACCAACGCTGTTAGTGGCAGTTTTGTGCATTTAACTTGTAAACATTCAAATAATGGCGAATATGGATTTTTCAAAAAGAAAAAGATATGATATATGTAAAAATACTGGGTATAACAGTGATTGTAAATTTTATTCATTTCCTGTTGCCAAGCATAAAATAGTTCAAAGAGAAAAATAGATTATTGCTATAAATAAGAAAAATAAGTAAATAACCTATAATACAAACAACATGATATTTCTATGGTGTAAAATAAAAAATCTATTATATTCCGAAACATTGCACACATGCCCTGCATCAACTAAATCTTTCCCCTTTTTGGTGTAGCTGGTTGAAATGGGATATCATGTGATATAGGCTTAAAACCACTATAATGTTTGATATCCATTTTGATAAAATTAAAACAAATTTATATCTAAGCATTAAGGGCTACGCACACAAAAAATAACTGAGCAAAAACAAAATGAAAATGTAAAATGAAAACAATAATTACAACTTTACAGAGAGGTAAAGGCATCGAGCAAAAAGACAAAAGAGAGAATCTAATCGTTATGAAAAGGAGACCAAAAAAGTGTCCTCTGATGGCGGATATATCCGGAAATGCGAATGCGCCAAATTTAAATTTTCCGACACTTATTAACAGTAGCTATAAAATAGTTTTCAGAATGTGTCTTAGACGAGAAACTTTTAATTAAATATTAATGATAACAGTCTAAAATGTGCCACAATTGTTAAAAAACTTCAATATAAATAAGATTTCATGTGACAGTTGTGACAAACAATAACATAACCCAACTAAATATGATTTCTTAAACAAGGAAAGATTCTCTTTCCTTGTTTAATGTGGCCTCTCAAGATAGCACTTCCTGTCTAACAATATTTTTGCCCCCACTACCCTTACATTCCCTCTTTTGTCCTTTTGCTCGATGGGTAAAGGCTTAGAGTAGGGAATTTTACACAAAATTCCCTACTCTATGCCTTTACCTCTGTAAATATGTATATTATACGTCATTGGGTAAAGGTATCCTTTAGTCATTAAATATTTTCACATAAACTTCTTTTTCTCAATGGCCTCTTGCGTAAGTAGTCATCCAGTCGCACTAACTTATATCTTAAATAGTATAATCACAGAATAATAAACAATCAGAATTCCCACTCTCCATGGAAAATTAAGTACGCGCATCTCCTTCGCGCAGACGTTCCGCCATGTTTTAGAGGGAACCAGTGTTGTTTATGTGGTGTGCATAGAAAAATTAACCCGGTTTAATTGACTTACGGCAATCATAGACATACCACAGAATAATAAACAAACAGAATGCCCACTCTCCACGGAAAATTAAGTACGCGCATCTCCTTCGCGCAGACGTTCCGCCATGTTTTACGAGGATTTTAAAGGGAACCACTGTTGTTTATGTGGTGTGCATGAAAAAAAAAACAGGTTTATTTGACTTACGGCAATCATAGACATACTATACAATTATATTAACAGTTTTAAATATAATAACATAAATATAATATAATTAAACATAAATGTAAACAATTGCATAACCTCACAAATCATATGTTTGTGTCCTCCTAAAACATGGCGCGCGTGCTGAAAAACTTCAAAGGCGGCATCTGAGAGTGGCCCTTCTGATTGTTTATTATTCTGTGGACATACTGTACAATTATATTAACATTGTTAAATATAATAACATAAATCTAATATAATTCAACATAAATATAAACAATTACATAACCTCGCAAATCATATGTCTGTGTTATGTATTTTCTTCTAAAACATGCCGCGCGTGCTGAAAAACTTCAAAGGCGGCATCTGAGAGTGGGCATTCTGATTGTTTATTATTCTGTGGTATTGTCTATTCGCTTAGCTAGGGCATATTTTGACAGACTCATTGTCGGAAACCTACAACACAACAATTCCTACTTCTCAGTATTAATAGCTCAAGTGTACTACTATTGCAGACTTCTTTCTTTGAAAAAAAGAAGAATTATTCTAAATAGTGGAAGTGTATACTAAACCCATCAAATTTTCCCTGTATATTTAAAATATAATATTTGAATTGTTACAATTTAAAATATTGTAGTAAATATTTGTATTATTCGCGTTGTTTATTTAATTTAATATTGTTTTATTATATTTGTTTAATTCTTTTGTTAGTTCTATTCAGTTAATTAATTAGTTATATTTTAAATTTTATTATTATGGATAGTCAAAGTTTTCCATTTGTTCCATCAGCTAATGTGTTGGTAAGTTTTTCTTAATAAACATGATAAAATGTTTTTTAAAAGTTAATATTTTTAGATTAGTTGTTTCTAATTTAATATAAACTTGTTTATACCTACA